GGTCAGTTGCTGGTGCCAGCAGCAGCTGCATTATTATATATTAAGCATCTCTTCTACTTGGAGTGGCATTATGCGTGAGGTAAATGCATGAGTCCAAGAATACACACAGCTCCAGTATCCCTTTACTGGCTATTATCTGTGTGCCCTGTTATAGTTTATAATGGGTTTTCCCATCAGTTAACTCATTCTTTATCTTATTTGACCCTGAGTCCTTATTATCCACAATGTACAGATAAGAAAGTGAGGCGCGAAGTTGTTAAATTGTTTAGCCTAAACTCTAGTGCAATTATGTCCAGCACTTAGATCTTCTGACTCTTTGTCTACTGGGGTGCTTCTTCCATGATCACGTTTTTCTTTTATTCGGATTATTCAGCGGCAGTCTCCAATATTTACTGAATATTAGCTATGTGTATAGTAGTATTCTAAGTACTTTATCTCATTTAACTATAAATCTTATGATGTAGGTACAGTTGATATTCCCACATTACACATAAGAAACAGATGTTCTGATTAATTTAGTAACTCAGCGGTCCCCAAACTTTTCGGAACCAGAGCCCCGTGCTCCTAAGTGAATCTAATGCCTGATGATCTGAGGCGGAGCTGAGGCGGTGATGCTGGCGCTGGGGAGCAGCCGCAAGTACAGATGAAGCTTCGCGCTCTCGCCCGCCACTCACCTCCTGCTGTGCAGCCCGGTTCCTAACACCCCATGACCTGTACCCATCCAAGGCCCCGGGGTTGGGGACCCCTGGAGTAACGTTCTCATCGTTACACGGATGGTGATGTCAGTTACAAATGAACCAGTCCATCTGATTCAGAAGTACGCAGACATTGTCTATCATCTTGGTGTCTCCATTGCTTTGAAGTCAACACGATGCATAAGATCACATTTAACTGCATATTTAGTTGAGTCACATTATTGGTACTATTGTAGTATTGTAGGCTAAGGTATTTAGAATGTTGTACAGAATGAATGAACTATTATGGATTAATTATCGATATCTTCCTGTTGAGGGTGTACATCCCAGAAACCAGGCTAGGAGGTGGTGGTATCTGGTTCTGTTTTCCCTGATCTCAAGTCTCATTTCTCTCGGGGAACTTTCCTCTTCCTGTCTGGTTTTTACTCATTCCTCAAGTCTCAGCTTAAATAGAGTCCTTCCAAAAATCTAGGCCAGGGGTCCCTCCTATGTACCCTCCACGTATTAATTACTCATTTAATCACTTTCATCCTCCGAACTGGAAATCTCGTTCAGTTCTTTATCTGCAGTCTGGCAAAATACCTGTCATACATTAGGTGCATAATTTGCTGAATGAATTAATGACATCAGTGACTTAAAATTAGCCTCAAATGAATGTGTTTTATGAAACAGATGATTTCATGTGGCAGTGGTTTCAGATTCTTGAAAAGCTGAAGGGTGCTTTTTAGCAATCAGGAAATTATGTTAATTAATCGGAAGCCATCGATCGTTTACGTGTGGGTGCAGATACTGTCTGCCTAAGCCTGCGCCCGCATCAAAACACAAAAGGGATCCTAATGGACTTTCAGAGAGCACATGGAGTTGCTGCCGTTTTGTTATTTTTGTCTCTATAAACCATGTCCAGTGCGATACAGTGCGTTTCATAATGTTTGAAATATTTAACGTCTTTTAATAGAGATAGATCAACCAGGTATTCTGGATAAAAACGCAAGGAAATCTCCATGCGGCTGCGTTGTCAGACAGCGGAGCACAGCGCCTGGGGTGGGGGGCGGGGTGGCGTGAAGAAGGCCAAGCCATCGGCAGGCAGGGTGGCGCCGTGGGGCCCGCAGGAGCTGCGGGTGTGGACTCTCCTTTGGCGACTGCCCACGCCTCGCTGTGACAGCAGACAGTGACAGCGCTCTGCCTCTCCCAGTGAATCTGGGCTGTGACCTCTTGACCGGAAGGACGTGACGGGAATGACGCTGTGCTGGGGCCAGGTTCAGGCCTTAAGAAGCCGGAAGCTTCTGCTTTCTCTCTCGGGATTGTCACTCTCGAGAAACACCTGCCCTGCCGTGAGGGAGCACAGCAGCCCCTGGGGAGGCCCTGGCTGAGGGGAGCCGTGGGTGTGGATGCAGCGTGCTGAGCTGTTGCTCAGCATATGGACGAGCCATCCGAAAGCCAGTCCGTTGGCCCCTCGTGGAGCCGTGGAAGGTGACCACAGGTGGGGCGCGATGGAGCTGACAGGGCAAGCCCTACCTGGCTTGTGACCATGCTTTGATTAAAACTTGGACTCTGAAGTTTCCTAGTTGTCTAAAAATGGGAACGCTGATTCATGGCACCGGGAAACAGCACAAACTATGACCCACAGCGAAGCAGAATCCCCGAGTGTGCCCTCCAGGTCCCCGTCCAGGGGCCAGTGCGACGGGAGTCTGCATCCGGCGGAAGTCCCCGCTCCCAGTCAGCAAAGTGAGGCCGGTGGGGTCAGGGAGGTGTGGGTGTCATTTCCTTCTGCCTCTTTGATTTCAGTGCATTCGTCATTTTTGTCAAGCGGGTATAAGTACCTGTTTAACAGTCAAGTACGCAGACGGCCTTGTGACGAGAGGCGACAGCACGCCAGGCGGGGGTGCTTGTCCCCTCCCCCAGCTCCCCCAGCTCCGCCATCGCCTTCCAGTTTCAACATCCGGATCTCGACTTTTATATCGTCCACGCTGCGTAACAGAGATATTTGTTTGCGTAACATGAATTAATAGCGCGATTGTAAGGTTGTACGCCAGGGGGCTGTTTGCACCGTTGTGCCCCAGCGGGTTGTAGGTGGGGACCCCACACTTAGATGTGCAAGGAGAACGGAATTCCTCATCCCCCACAATGGCCGTGAGATTCCCCATGACCCCTGACCCTTCTGTGTAGCAAGGGGAACATGTCCTTGGTGATCGATCACATGTCACTGGGTTGTGGGACACGTTCGGCGATTCGCTGGCGGGACCTAGGATCCGTGTGTAGTCAGACGTGGGGGGAAAGGCTCATCGCAGGGGAAGGCACAGGGCAGAGGGGAGGCGCGCGAGTGACGTCCGGAGGACGTCAGGTTCCCAAGAGACCTCTCCCGCTGCAGCCACGTGGGACGCGTGTCTTCCTCCAGCTTCCAGCTGCCACCGCCCAGGGATTTTGGTGGGGGCTGGCCATTGTGCACCCCAACCGAGAGCTTCCAGGTAGAGCGGGTAGGAAGGTGTTCGGCATAAACCACGTTGTCTGCAGACATTTTAGATGCTGCAGACCC